ATTAACAAAGTCACTGTTACATAAATGATGAAATGTGTAGTCGATATGAAGAAACTTGTCGTAACTAATGGATATTTGTGCACAATCACATTTTAATGTTTGCGAATATCTTGAATATAGATTGGAGTATTGTTGATTTGTTGGTGATTTAATATTAACAGTTTGTGTAATATCGATTAACGATGTATAGAGAAGAAGAATAGCTAATGATAAAGCCAAAAAGATAATGAATAATCTTGTTGAGATACGTTGGTTTCGAAGTTCATGTTCATCATTTATGGATGAATTTAATGGAAATATGTTTAAATTGTAAATATAATCTTTTAGTTTTCGACCGAAGTTAAAATTTGTTTGTTGTTCGGATGTTTCTTTAAGAAAAATAAACATAGAATAAACAAATTGATGATAGAAAGTTAAGGATGGAATTTTTCTCGAAAAAGAAATTATCAAAAGTATTTCTTATGAATTTGTGATGCTGCAAAAACGCTAGACTCAACCTATTCATGTGTGCCGTCATCATATATTCCATGAAAACTACGCATGTCTTCATGTGGTGCATTAGCAGAATATCGATATGTTAGTATTTAAAAACTAGTCCTAAATCTTACCAACTGTTGGACTTGTTACTTGTTTTTTTCTTCTTATAAAACGCACTAAAAATGGTACAACTATTTTTAACATTGTTATCAAACCACCAATCAATCCAATGATCGTAGTAATTATATAAATGGCATTATTCTTTGTTTGATGAGTATAGGCACATTGTAATGGTCGACATTCATTATAATAATTTTCATATATGATTGATCTGTTCCATTTTTCGACCATTAAACTGTTAAGAATATCTTCGACTGTTGAGTTTATGAAGAATGTCTTTAATAAGGCTTGGTCAAGAGAGGTGACATTCATTGGTGAAGCTCCTCGAAAATATGATTGAACTTTACTTATACATGTTTGATTATAAAAACATCGAAGATCAGATTGAAGTAATGCTTCAACAATATAACATCCTATTTGCATACCTGGTATGTAGAATGTTACATCGTTTTTAGAACTAGGATACATTCGAGATTGATAACTACACTTCGCTGAAGTTGAACAACTACAGTTATCGTTATCATACCAATATGCATATGTATATCCATCAGCAGAACCGTCAGAATATCGGGTAAGGCCAAAGTTTGTCTCTTGTGCAGAATATATAGCATCACTTTGAGTCATTTGTCTTATAGTTAAAAGTGATAACAAGAAGTCGTTTGCCATTGTTGATATCAATTGAGTAATGGAAGAGTCAGCTTGAAGTTCAAATGTTTCTGTAGGAACAACAGATGCGCTAACAAATTGACTTGAATAGAATTCTGACAAATGATTACCGATTGTTTTATTAACTAAATCACAAAATGCACGCAACGCTTGAAATGTAGACGTGCTTGTCCATCGAAAATCATCGGAGTACCAATGATCATATTGCCTAATAGTGAAAAGATAATCAATCCAATTTTGACTAACGTAAACACTGTTGCATATTTGATGAAATGTGTAGTCGATATGAAGAAACTTGTCGTAACTGATGGATATTTGCGCACAATCACACTTTAATGTTTGCGAATATCTTGAATATAGATTGGAGTATTGTTGATT